CCCCCCCCATGGTTGTCTCCTCCTCTTGTACTTGACCCAACTTGGACAGTGAAATGTTTATGGCTAATGAAGTCCAAGTACATTCCCCCCGGTACTCGCCGATACCAGCTACCGATACTTTTTCTTAAAGGAACATGTGACATTTTGTGTAGAACAATACAGATTGATGATTTCAGGGAAGTTTCTTTATAATTATCAAGAACTGTAACTCAATCCATGATTGTATATCAATGGAGAATGGCAACCGGCTATAGAAGACTACAGATCCCGTTTGGGCCGTCGCCAGGGCCGGCGTTTGGGCCGTCGCCAGGGCCGGCGTTTGGGCCGTCACCAGAGCCGGCGTTTGGGCCGTCACCAGAGCCGGCGTTTGAGCCGTCACCAGAGCCGGCGTTTGGGCCGTCACCAGAGCCGGCGTTTGGGCCGTCACCAGAGCCGGCGTTTGGGCCGTCACCAGAGCCGGCGTTTGGGCCGTCACCAGAGCCGGCGTTTGGGCCGTCACCAGAGCCGGCGTTTGGGCCGTCACCAGAGCCGGCGTTTGGGCCGTCACCAGAGCCGGCGTTTGGGCCGTCACCAGAGCCGGCGTTTGGGCCGTCACCAGAGCCGGCGTTTGGGCCGTCACCAGAGCCGGCGTTTGGGCCGTCACCAGAGCCGGCGTTTGGGCCGTCACCAGAGCCGGCGTTTGGGCCGTCACCAGAGCCGGCGTTTGGGCCGTCACCAGAGCCGGCGTTTGGGCCGTCACCAGAGCCGGCGTTTGGGCCGTCACCAGAGCCGGCGTTTGGGCCGTCACCAGAGCCGGCGTTTGGGCCGTCACCAGAGCCGGCGTTTGGGCCGTCACCAGAGCCGGCGTTTGGGCCGTCACCAGAGCCGGCGTTTGGGCCGTCACCAGAGCCGGCGTTTGGGCCGTCACCAGAGCCGGCGTTTGGGCCGTCACCAGAGCCGGCGTTTGGGCCGTCACCAGAGCCGGCGTTTGGGCCGTCACCAGAGCCGGCGTTTGGGCCGTCACCAGAGCCGGCGTTTGGGCCGTCACCAGAGCCGGCGTTTGGGCCGTCACCAGAGCCGGCGTTTGGGCCGTCACCAGAGCCGGCGTTTGGGCCGTCACCAGAGCCGGCGTTTGGGCCGTCACCAGAGCCGGCGTTTGGGCCGTCACCAGAGCCGGCGTTTGGGCCGTCACCAGAGCCGGCGTTTGGGCCGTCACCAGAGCCGGCGTTTGGGCCGTCACCAGAGCCGGCGTTTGGGCCGTCACCAGAGCCGGCGTTTGGGCCGTCACCAGAGCCGGCGTTTGGGCCGTCACCAGAGCCGGCGTTTGGGCCGTCACCAGAGCCGGCGTTTGGGCCGTCACCAGAGCCGGCGTTTGGGCCGTCACCAGAGCCGGCGTTTGGGCCGTCACCAGAGCCGGCGTTTGGGCCGTCACCAGAGCCGGCGTTTGGGCCGTCACCAGAGCCGGCGTTTGGGCCGTCACCAGAGCCGGCGTTTGGGCCGTCACCAGAGCCGGCGTTTGGGCCGTCACCAGAGCCGGCGTTTGGGCCGTCACCAGAGCCGGCGTTTGGGCCGTCACCAGAGCCGGCGTTTGGGCCGTCACCAGAGCTGGCGTTTGGGCCATTGCCAGGGCCGGCGTTTGGGCCATTGCCAGGACCGGCGTTTGGGCCATTGCCAGGGCCTGGTTTTTGGGCCGTCTCCAGGGCTTGGCTTTTGGGCCGTCTCCAGGGCCTGGCTTTTGGGCCGTCTCCAGGGCCTGGCTTTTGGGCCGTCTCCAGGGCCGCGTACGGCTGGTATCGGTATAGGCATCGGGAGCATTATATGAGTGAGCAGCACTCCACCGCCTTCTATAGGGAGAGCGTTCTGCCACGAGTCATCCATCCGTCTGTGTGCCAGGAACACGCTCCCCCCCCCCCCTTCCTGCCCCGGGGGGGGGGGGGGGGAGGGGTGATGGGTGTTGGAGAGAGCACATGATCCATAACCATTTTAATTTAATATTCTTCTCGTTAAAGGCAACATCTCATGATGGCGATTATCGGCCTCCGTTTGTACCCGGCGCTGGAGGCTGCCGCTGCTTTCCAGAATCGGTACCAGAGAGGCACATGGTGCACTAGTGCGATTATTGCTCAATGGCCGCTCCCGTCAGACCGGGTCACCCTCAGTGGTGTACCCGTGAGCAAAATCCAGAAAGAAAAACAAGAGAGCGCCAAACCAAAAAATTAGTCCCAGGGAACTTTAATTCTTCATTTAAAAAAAAAAGCTGACGCGTTTTGGGGCTTTGAACACTCCCCCCTTCATCGGGTCCTGGATGTTGTGTATTGTAAGGACTTAAACATCACAATTAACAATCCGAAATGATATGACGTTTTGCTGTCGGATCCATTCCAGATACCACATCACTATATATATATATAATCCAGGCCCTGACGAAGGAGCGTTCAGATCCCCGAAACGCGTTGTTTTTTTTCCTTTTGATGCACCATTAAAATTTCCTTGAACTCATTTTTTTTTTTACTGATTTTTAGGTATTAAGCGATTTTGCTCAAAAAGTAGTTTTTACCTAAGACGACAAGAAAACCATTTTCTTTCTTCTTTTTATTCCTCAGACTCTGTCGTCTCCGCGGACCCCGCCCTGGCTCCTCCCCCCCTCGTTACCCTTCGCAGTGTCACCGTGAGTAAGACGAAGCCGCACTCTCAGGACGAGACGTGGCTGTCCCGGGGTCTCCGGCCTCCACCGCCCAGCCATGTCCCTGGAGCAGAAAACCATCCTACTGGAGGAAGACGAGGAGGAGGAGGAGGAAGAAGAAGAAACCTCCAACAGCCCCGGCACCGGGGACGACGACGGGGACCCGAAAATCTGCCGCGCCTGCGGGGACAAGGCCACCGGCTACCACTTCAACGCCATGACCTGCGAGGGCTGCAAAGGCTTCTTCAGGTGGGTCCTCCATACGCTGCCTCAAGTGGCGACCAGAAAATTTATGTTTTTACCTAAAAATCACTAAAAAGCCGAAATGTTTTAGTTATATTGGTTCTTGATGGAGTGGTGGAGGAGGGGGGGGGGGTGATGTGGTAGAACCCCTGTCAGAGCCTCGGGCGGCTCTCGTTGTTCTCCAGGCCTCGGGCGGCTCTCGTTGTTCTCCAGGCCTCGGGCGGCTCTCGTTGTTCTCCAGGCCTCGGGCGGCTCTCGTTGTTCTCCAGGCCTCGGGCGGCTCTCGTTCTTCTCCAGGCCTCGGACGGCTCTCGTTCTTCTCCAGGCCTCGGGCGGCTCTCGTTCTTCTCTAGGCCTCGGACGGCTCTCGTTCTTCTCTAGGCCTCGGGCGGCTCTCGTTCTTCTCTAGGCCTCGGGCGGCTCTCGTTCTCCTCCAGGCCTCGGGCGGCTCTTGTTCTTCTCCGGGCCTCATACTGGTCTCGTTCTTCTCCGGGCCTCGGGCGGCTCTCGTTATTCTCTTGGCCTTGTGATTCTTCTGTTGGAGGAATTTCCTACGTCCAAGGTCAAGACAAAAGCAAGAGTCGTGTTTGATACCTTTTTTTTTGTTTTACATTCTTGAGCTGCAGGGAACAATGAGCTCCTGTCAGACCAGGTCACCCTCAGATCTGTCTTTTTCCTTGTTACGTTGGTAATATAAACACAATTCATGAGACACGCCTGAGAGTTCCAGGTCAACGGGACATCTGTAACAGGTGCTTGGAGGTGACAACTTCCAGGATGTGACTGCTCAGGCGGAGGACTGTGGTGACAAATGGTGTCAGATGTAGGAACTAGATCCTGATCTTCAGCACAATGGTGGCTCAGCTATGTCATATGCTGGATTGTGCAGCCTAAAGGGGAGCTCCTCCCCCATCCTACAACGCACAGGTTCCTTAGACTGGCAGCCCCCTTTGAGGAACACTTGACTAGCATAAGGGGGTTTGAAGCCTTGCCTAAAGCTTTATACATTTATATAGCTCTGACATATACCGCAGTGCTGTACAGAGAACATTGAGCCAGTCACATCAGTCTCTGTACAGAGGAGCTTACACTCTAATGTCCCCCCCCCCCACAGTCACATCAGTCTCTGTACAGAGGAGCTTACACTCTAATGTCCCCTCCCCCACAGTTACATCAGTCTCTGTACAGAGGAGCTTACACTCTAATGCAGAATGGCATCGGCAGTAGGGGGACTACAAATCCCAGCAATACATCATACAGAAATGCAGAACAGTATATGAACTGGACTCTGGGCTTAGCAACATGCTGGAATAAAGACTTAGCAACGCACTGGTCTCTGGACCCACCGGAGATCCTGCAGAGTCCACCTGAGACCCCGGCCAGCCCACCGTAGATACCGCACAGCCCACAGAGGGTCTCAGGTGGGCTGGTCGGGGCCCCTTTCCCTGCACATGCAGCTCCTTACCTGCCGCTGCTGGCCTCCTCCGCTGCTGGACCGGCGCTGCTGGGCCTCAGCTCCGGCCTTCAGCACTCCTAGGTGTAAGCCACGGCTGGGCTATTGCTGAGCTAAGCTCCCTGAGTACTCGTGGGTGTAAGCCATCAGTCCCCGGTGACTTGTCTTATATTTAGCTTTTCTAACCTGTTTCAGGCCCTGTTTTCAGACCACCATAGAGTGCATCTCCTATGTTGATGTTGGCATTATTATTATTATTTCCTCTAGTAAATACTTATTTTCTATGTGTGTGTATAGACTAGAACTGAGCCTCATAGGTTTAATATGTGTTCTCTTGTATGTGATGCAAAGGTCAATTCTATTATTTTACATGTCCTTCTTAGTATATTGGAATCACGCACATTGCGTTCTGAGTTAGGTTGGAGGACCTGATGGTGGCTTTGATCCAAGTCCCAGAACCCCCTAGTCCCATCTTTTACTCCATCTTGTTACTTTGTTGTTACTCGTTAAGTTATAAATGATGATAATCTTGTCATATTTGCAGCCGTGTTGGGGGAGGGGAGCTAGATGCCATTTCTCCGATGTATCCAGAGACCTCACTTCGCCATTCATAATGACAACTCTCAATTAGCCTTTCATAATAGAAGTAAGTCACATGACCCCTCTTCAGCTAGTTGGCCAGCTACGTGCACCGACCCCCCACCCCCAGGTATTGGCTTCTTGGGCTTTACTTGTGTCAGGTCTCCATTAGGTTACCCAGCAACCGGCATCCTTGTTCGGTGTCCAAGGAACATAATGGATACTCCACTCAAGCTAGAAAGGGACCTGAAAAAGGTGCATTAATTTCCCGGGAACACTCGAGAGCTCAAATGGAATATAGTGCCCTTGGGTCTCTAAGTAACATGAGAGCACATTCCTACCTGAGGGTTCCTGAGAGTGTGTTGTATAGTCCACTTCATGTATACACCACCAATTATCCCCGGAAATAAACCATGAAATACTAATGTCCTCCAGGCACGCCAAACAGAGAAGCTTTGGGGCCAAGACCTGGTGGGTTTTCTATGACCATGTGGCCTTGAGTTGTCTTCACCCCCATTGGCCTATACACCTGGAATTTGGTGTCTTTTGGACCTTCGCAGTCTCGTTGGTCTCCCAGTTTCTGTCGATGGCGGTAAACCATGAAAACGATAGAGGCCTTCAAATATGGCACCAACACTTTTTGAGAGGGCCACACAATGGCAATGTTTTGAGGTCCATCATGCCAAGTTGGTCAGCCCATTCACAATGGGCTGTAACGGACTTTAACGCCCCAAAATGTTGATCCTGCTGCGTTTTTTGCACACTGAAGAGAAAGTGAGAGTAACGGAACCCCCCAGCATTGGTGTCCATGGCTGAAATCAACCCCCCCAAACACCACCATTGGTGCCCATGGCTTTTAATCAACCCCCCCC